ACTCACTGGGGTTTGCATCAGGGCTATTAGCTTGGTGGTCATCAGGCCATACCAGTTCAGGAACATTTTGCAATGATTATGCTTATTTCTCATGGCACACCACATGTTTAGGTGAGACCCTGGTGACATATTTTATTCAAGTAAAAGTGTACAATTCATGATCCATGGCTAGATAACAACTTCAAGTTGCATTTGGTATGCAAAATATGATTTTTTACCAAAAATTTAAAAAGTTATAGCATTTTGAAAAAAAGTGGCGTTTTTTTGGCCCACCCTGTATTTGTTTACATAGGAAGTGTCATTCAAAATGGCCGACTGGGTAAATTAATTTGCATACTTTGTTACTTCCCCTAGCTTTATTTCCATTTGACAATATGCTGTGTTACTTTTCATAGCATTTAATTGTACCTTACTACTTAATTGAATTGTTAATGCTTATTTTTGGGAAGGGAAGTTTCCTGAAATTTATAATTGTGTGCCTGAAATTTCCTGTTTTTCCCACAGGAAGGACATAATGATCAATAGACTGAATTCTCAGGAAATTCAGTCTATTGGATATAGACTAATGATTTTTTTGAAAATAATTACAAAATAAATCATTAGGAAAATTGTCTGGACGGTTGATGCATTTGTAAGTAAAGGTGAGAACATTGAGTTTATAATTATCATTTATCTTAAGTATATTTAATGTACGGAATAGAGGTGAGGATGGTGCTTTATTATATTCACTATTAGTAGCCAAACTGACAAATCTTTTCTGTTATTTTAATGGAGTATCAATATGTGTCTTTCCTGCCCCACCCCCAATTGGGATACAATATTGCAAGTGTGAGTAGACAAGTGAGTAATATATTTTCATTAAAGATTTCAACAAGTTAAACCTAGTCTGGGCCTTATTTCTTATCTGACATATCTTGTGGCCCGCCCTAGGTTTAACGTCCGTGCCTATTCGACCATCGATGCAAAAAGATTTAATTGTGGCCTATAGCAGCGCATAGAATTCAATGCGCAAGGCAACAAGAATTTTCAGATTAATAAATGAAAGTTGTAGTATGCGCCAAATCACTTCCAAAGTGGCTTAGTTAGTCTAAACCGATGTTGAGGTAGATTACTAAGAAGTGGCCCATAGTCATTATAGATTGGTTCATTGACTATTCATTTTCACTTGTCTGCAGTTAAAAAGGTGACACGAAAGGGCTAAACGGCTTGCCCCAAGGTGCAACCGTCAAAAATATAAGTTTGAAAAAAAATCATGTTTTTCAAATAATAGCAGTGAGTATATGAAATAAGAAGAATATTTGATATTGATATGTATGATAGTCTATTTGGGTGTGGTCATTTTTATTAAAAACAATAATGGTGAAGAATTATATATTGCTGACCTTGAAATGCCATTTTAATCCAAAAGTCACTGTTGCTAATCATAATATTCCCATTTTACTTATTCAATGTTTTCTAAATGTTTCAATTACCATTATGTTAGGTTTTGGCAAAGTAAATAATTATAGGGGTCACACAAGGATCCACTTTGTTTACAACTATTTCATATTTAGTGATGATTTCAAAAAATACTAAGTTTAACACAATTGTATTTGTTAAATATTAAATGTAATGATGGTATTGTGTTTGTTTCATTGTTTCAACTAAAAATCGCAATTCATTGCTCTTGCTCTTAGAGCTGCAGGGCATATACCAGTACAAAAAGTCTTCAATAAAGTTGATCCTTGTGTGAGCCCTATGATTATTTACTTTGCCAAAAATGAATATAACGATTATTCAGATATATAAAAATCCTTTAATATGTTAAATAGGAATACAATGATTGACTTTTGAATAAAAAGGCATTATACATGTACATATATATGTAGTTGTTGCAGTAAAATTACCGCACCAAAGTGGACTATCTTTCCATATTAATATCAAATGGGCCTTCTATTTGCATTTTACTGAAATTATTTGTAACAAACGTTTATTGTGATAAAGCAGGCAATGATTTTGATACTTTTTTTAGCTTGCAGACAGTGACCTAGTCGAGACAACATCTTGTAGTAATGGGTGTAACAGGCAGGAATTGATTTTATAAATGCAACTTTTGACAATTCTATTATTGATGGTTACAGTTAGCCATTTTGTCCAACATTCTGCGTGGACGCCAAATTAAAAGATACCGATTTGCATCACATCAAGTTTGATTTGTTCACCGATGTTTGTCAGAGTGATACCTGTAGCAGCTGCACTAGACTGATATGCTATGCAACAAGATATATGTGGGCTTTCATTGCAACATTTACATTTAGAACAGTTACAATTTTACTTAGTCTGATAGAAAATTATATAATTGAAGTATATTTCTTTGAGTTTATTCAATTCGAACATTACTTTTACAATACAGATACCTTTGTTTTGAAACATTAGCAGCAATTTTATATTTTCAAACGGTCAGTTTTTAACTTTGAATGTTTCATTTTTGTTCATAAAAAGTGTATTCTACAAAAGTCAAGGTCATTTCAAGGTACAATGTCAATATTTAGGTAGTTGGCTTTTTAAGACACCTGGTCGTTTATTTGACCCTCCACAACCAATGATTAGGTGACCTGAAGCCAAGGTCTGAATGGATCAAGGAAATTTCAAGTTCAAAGGTCAATATCTAGCAAGTTGACGTGAGAACAATTGTGACCTTTGGCGACCAATGATGAGGTGATTTTAAGGTAGTTTCAAGGTCAAAGGTCAAATATCTAGGTCATAGATAGTTGGCTACTGTGGGTCTTCAGTAACATTTGATCACCAAAGATAAAGTGACCTAAGGTCAATGTCACTGTTTATGGGTCAAGGTCATCTCACGGTCAGAGGTCAGTATCTGAATATTTGGCATTTTGGGGATGCTGCTTCATGTGAGGACCCATTGATATGTGTTCTGAGGTCAAGGTCATTCCTACAAGGTCATAATCTCTGTATTTGGCATTTTGAGGCCCTGGGTGCTGCTATAACCCTTGCCAACTCAAGCTAAGGTGACATGAGGTCAAAGTCAATATCTATGGTTCAAAATTATAGTAAGGTCAAAAGTCAATATCTAGGTAGTTGGTTTGTTTGTGGCTACACTGACATTTGATCACCAATGATAAAGTGACCTGAGATCAGTGTCATTTTTATAGGTCAAGGCCAGAGATCAATATCTAAATATTTGGCGTTTTGGAGTGGCTGCTGCACTTGACTCCATTGAAACGTGACCTGAGGTCAAGGTCAATCTAAGGTCAAATTTCAATATCTTAATGTTTGGCGTTTTAAGGCCACATGGGCTGCTGTCGGCGACTCATGATAAGGTAACATTAGGTCAGTCATCATTTAATGGTTCAATTCAAGATCATCTCAAGGTCAAGGTCAATATCTAGGTATTGGTGTTTCAAGGCATTCGGGAGATGCTGTGATGCTTGGTGACCCATTACTAGGCGACTTGGGGTCAAAGTCATTACTGATGGGTCATGTCAATTCAAGGTCAAAAGTCAATATCTAGGTATTAAGCCTTTTAAGGCCTTTAGGCTAGTTCATGTCATGCATCAGAAAAGGTCAAAAGTCAAAAGCCAGGTATTTGGAATTATTTTTAAGGCCGTGGGGCTGCTGTGACCGACTCGAACAGTAGATTGCTAGTATTGTAAACATACACAAGAATATGGCGGGAGGGTGGCAAAATCGTCTATTTCCTTTAATATGCAAATATGGCACTCTGTAAGGACCCGAGGGTTCCTTCGGGGAGTTGCGTGGTAATGCTCTGTGTGGGAACCAAACCTAGTACCTTCTAATCTAGATTCTGATGATCTACCGCCTTAACTAGCAGCCACGCTACAATTATGGGACAAATTTGGTACTTCTGACTCTATAATGCTTTATTATTCAAAAGACAATTATATTATTCTTATTTTGACTATCAAATGATTTTCATATATCTGAATAACCATTATATTAGTTTTTGGCAAAGTAAATAATAGTAGGGATCACACAAGGATCAACTGTATTGAAGATTGGTCGTACTGGTATATGCCCTGCCGCTCTAAGATCAAGAGCAATGAATTGTCATTTTTCAGTTGAAACAACAAAACAAACACATAATCATTATTTTGTTTAACATTTAACAAATAATTTTCTGTTAAACGTAGTAATTTTTCAAAACATCACTAAATATGAAAAAGTTGTAAATAAAGTGGATCCTTGTGTGAGCCCCATTATTAATTACTTTGCCAAAAATGAATATAATGGTAAGTGTAATATATAGAAAACATTAAATAGGTAAAATAGGAATATAATTAATAGCAACCGTGACTTTTGCATTAAAATGGCATTTTAAGGTCAGAAATGTATAATTCTTCAATATTATTGTTTTTAATAAAAATGACCACACCCAAATGGACTATCATACATATCAATATCAAATTTGCCTCATATTTCATATACTCGCTGCTATTATTTGAAAAAAAGATTTTTGTCAAACTCATCTTTTTGACGGTTGCACCTTGGGGCAAGCCGTTTAGCCCTTTCGTGTCACTTTTTTGAGTGCAGACAAGTAAAAATGAATAGTCAATGAACCAATCTATATTGACTATGGGTCAAATCATAGTAACCTACCTCAACATCAGTTAATGGGATTTTCTGGAGTTTTGGCGCACACTATTGTGGTATTTGGTTTGACTTGTTGAACTAGCCTCATACCTGTCTACGGCATTCAAATTCAAATAGTTACCGTATTTACCCCGGGTATTCCCCTTCCACTTCTGTTCAACAGTTTAACCAATGTCAGAAAAACGAACAATCATCGGAGGTAAATTTGGTGTCGTTCGAAAATTTTATGCAACTCACCGGAAATCGATTGGTAGTTATTTGTGAATTCAAGTATTTTAGATCTTTTCACCTACAGTTTCGTTCAGTATGGATATAAATTAGTGGAAAGTGATTAAATGTATAGCATTTGAGCTAAACTTTATTACGATCCAATTTAATCTGCGTAATATTGAGAGTGACTTTGTTTGACTAAATTTTTATTTATTTTTATCGCACCCTAGCCCTAGGCCTACAGTAAAATTTTAAATGTTAGGAACTACTTTGAATTTAAAAAATAAGCAATCAAATGACCAAATTGAAACAGTATATGTAAAAATAGTAACATTTATATTTATCCTAACTTTTGTATATTTCAGATAGAGTCAATACGTCTAAATCCGATATAGAGGGTAATTCCGAACAATGGCGGCCATTGTTCATAAGCTGGGGGTAATTCCGAACACTATAATATTATTTGCTTAACTGTTTCATGATATTACATACCTTATTTTTCCAATGTCTGTGAAAATTCTTGAATCATGATTTTTTCAAAATTGCCATGCTTAATCTCTAGAGATTTGGCGAGATTTGTTCTTTCGCCCTCTATCGGCAGCAAAAAAATATCGCTCAAAAATTTTTTGATTGTGCTAAAATTTCAAGGAATGTGAGTATAATTTGTACAGTTTTGCGTCTAAGAACTGAATAAACCTTTTCAATATGAGTTCTTAGATATCTTTCATGTTGTTATACAACCCTATATACATTTTTCATGTGAAACTCGTTAATAAATGAGGTGTTCGCATTTACCCCCAGCTTTTTCAGGAACCGTTGAAATTTGATTGTGTTTTGTTCTCTCTGGACTTGATACGATTTATCATGAATTTTATACTCATATTCTTTCAACTGATTTTATTTTTTCTACCAGTTCTCTATCTTCTACCTTAGTATTAGTGTTAAGGTTATATGAAATAATAATCTCAATAATGCCCAGTGATTGTTCTGCTGACCCCTGGTTGTAGCAATGGTGTTACATATGATGTTACATTCACTTTGAATTGTTATTTTTTTCAGAATGCCACGTAAATATAATGCTAGGAATAAGAAGCCAGGTTGGTCCGATGATGACATGCGAAGGGCCCTGGAATTGATTGGGAATGGCCAGTCTGTTAGATCAACTGCCCGCCAGACTGGCATTCCCCTTACTACATTGCATGACCACAAAAGTGGCAAAATTGAGATTGGGGCTAGACGAGGCAGACAGCCAGCTCTTCCACGTGATGTGGAAGAAGAAATAATCTCGAAAACGATCAAGGCGGCAAAGTCCGGATTTGGGATTTCACGCTTTCAGCTGCAGCACAAGGCAGGGCGTGTTGCCAAAGCCCTGAAACTTTCCACCCCTTTTCTTAAAGATAACAGGGGCAACATGGTGGCCGGAAGAGTAAGTCTTAGTTGTTTGACTTGTTTGTTGTCTTACTTTACTTGATAATTGCTTGTTGGTTTGGACTTTACAGTATATTTCAAATAGTTGTCTTTTACAATTTTGATTGCGTTACATTTTGATGTATGATGTCTCCAACTCTCTAGTGTAATGGTAGCATAATCTACGAAAGTAGATGGAACTGGTTCAATTCCAGTGGGCGTTGACATGCTTATCTTTAATGTTAGCAATCAAAAATGAGATATTGAATTGAAACTGTCTAAGAACAATTCAAGTAATGATACAAAAATCTTTCTCAATGAAGCCTTCTAAATTATAAGTCCAAATGAACAAGTTTAAATAACAAGTAAAGTAAGATGCAGTTTAAAAAGCAATTTTGAAATTTTGCATGAATTATTATTCTAGGAATGGTACGAAGGACTGAAAAAAAGATGGCCGGAACTCACAATAAGGAAACCCTCAGCTCAATCTACCTCGAGGAGCAAATTGATGGACAGGAAAGTTGTTGAGAAGTATTTCTCGCAGCTACAACAACTTTTGGATGTCCATCAATTTGGCCCTCGAGAGATATGGAATATGGATGAGAGCAACATCTCATTCGAACACTCCCCGACAGGAGTGGTCTGTGTGAAAGGTAAACCTATTATAAAATACTGTATACTTGCAGTGTCAATATAATTGACAAATTAATATTCAATGAATTAATATTCAATGAATTAATATTTTATAGTTCACACCAGGGAGCAGATGTTTGTGCATACAAGTTAAAGACAATCAATTTCTAGGCTATTCAAAGTTATTTTGAAATCTCTCAATCAGCCAATGATAAGATGCGTACCTCTGAAAATAACTCTTTAATACTGAAATATTAAAACTAAAAGTATAAAACCTATGTAACACTGAACACTATATTTTTGCATTCTAGGGTAACACTGATTGTCTATTGGTACTTTTAAGTATCTCAATAATGAAATTCTATAGGCTACATCTATCATTGTAGGCATGAAAAAAGTTCCTGGGCGAGTGTCCAACAATCGTCGCTCATCGAGCATTCTAGGGGCAGTGAATGCAGCAGGGGATGCCATGCCCTGGACAGTGATTGTCCAAGGCAAGACTCGAGGTGTACTGTCGAGCTGGAATACCCGTAAATATGCTATATGATTAATCATGTTTAACAGGCCTGTAGCGAAGATTTGCCGATGAGGGAGGTTCACTTTTTGAAAAAAAATTTAGGGGGTGAAATTTGACAATTTGGCTTGAACAGTGCTCAAAATCTTGAAAATCTGCATGATTATGAAAGACCCCCCCCCCCCTGGCTACGGGCCTGTTTAAATGTTTAATATAGGGTTAAAACTAATTTATTTGTCCAAATACACTTTACATCAGTTTGAGATAAGTTATAAGCAGGCTGTATCTAACCAACTTTACTTAATAATGAAAATGAAATAATGAATTGCTTTCACTGTACTATGTTTCACTGTAAACTATAGTCAGATAGTCACATCTACACATACACTTGTAAACACAGTCATTGACTTGCAATACAAGTGTGACCACTAGCCACTGAGTTTTTAAATCATCTTTGCAGATGAGGCCCCTGAAGGTACATACTTTACCTACCAACATAAGGCTTGGATGACAGATGTCCTTGGAGAAGATTGGTTTGTGAATGTGTTTCTAAAGAACTGTGGGGAGGCCAGGCCACAGTTACTAATACTGGACAGCCATTCATCACATGAGGTTCTCGAACTGCTTGAGATAGCAGTCGAGGAAGACATTCATATCTTAGCTTTGCCACCCCACACCACTCACTGGTTACAACCCTTGGATAAGAGCGTGTTTGGCCCACTCTCCAGAGCATACAATAAAGCATGCTCGCAATTTATGGTTGCGAACCCGAATCACCAGGTTACTACCAGGACCTGGCCCAAACTGTTCAAAGAGGCAGTCCAAAATGCAGTCACGCCAGACAACATTCGAAGTGGTTTCAGGGCAACTGGAATATATCCACTAAACCCTGAAATTATACCATTACATGCATATCAACCCGCAGACCCATTCAAGCACCCATCTACCCCACTCCCTTCAACCTCCTCATCGCCAGTAATAAGCCCGATTCCCGCATTCTCATACAGTGAAGGAGCATTCATCATGGAAGTCCCAGAAGGCATGAACGATATAGAGCAATTGAAGAAACAGTTGGAAGACATTGGACTTTCGGTGACTGTAAGTGAATATAAGGCTACAAAAATGATTGTTTTACATGTAGGTCTATGACATGTAAACTTCTCTTTTCATTAATTTTCCTTTTCAATTTAGAATTTTTAAAAGTAGAATAAATGTTTTCTTTACCCAATACTACTGTATTCATGAACAATTAGTCAACCAACTCTTAAATGAATCTTAAATGTTCTTTTAGATTCCTAAAGTAAATGAGGCTGTTGAACCCAACCAAGCATTAACAACTTTAGATATGGAAATACACCAAGTGAGTACCTTATTTGCATCCAGTTTTAATAATCTGAATAATTTAAATGAAAATGAAATCAATAAATACAGTACAGCTAACAGAGGAACTGAATATAACCTTCAAACATTTGGGAACATTAGGGTTTGTGACACATACAATATAAAAATCACTAACCTATAGGATGTTCATAATACAAAGCTAGAATTGTAAGCATGAAATGAGTAAGTTAGTGAATTGCTCTAAACTATTCTTTGTCCTTGAACCTCCTTTATTTATTTTGTGCTCCTCATGGTAATGTATATTCTATATAATTATATAGGAACCAGAACAGAATTTAGTAGAGGGTGGAAATGCATTAGGCAGACCAGTGGGTGCTGAGCCAGATGTCCCAGAGAGTTTCCCATCATTGGCCAAGTGCACAGATGTGGTAAAACTTTTAAATCGAAATACTTAAGCAAATAACATGGACTTATGTTGACACTATGGTCAATGGTATTTACCTTTGTTATGGATGTACTAGATAGTATTTTTATGGTAAGATAAAGAAATCAGAGCTTCCTATCTGTTCCTTTCTTTCTAAGTATTTTTAATAAAATTATTTATTCAACATATTAATAAAAGTTACAAAATTTCTGTCAGCTGGCCATGGAAATGGTATTGAATGTGAAAATATTTATGTGTACCAAAATAGAAAGTTCTTTTTTTTGCTCTTGTATTTTATGTTATTTTTCCCAAATGGTGAATCTTTTCAATTTTGCAATATCATACTAAGTAAGATCAATATAATACAAGGTCTACCCTTGTTGAAGACAACTATAAAAATGTGTTTATCAGATTAATATGTTCCATAAATATTGTTTTTGAAATTGCAGGAACGTGCTGTGGAAAGTGAATTTTGTCTCCCAGCAACGCAACAAAGTACTCCATCTAGACCCCGTAGACCACGCATTAATTCATCAAGAATCCTGACAAGTCCAGAGATAATACAAGAGAAACAGAGGAAAGATGAAGAAAGAAGACAGAAGGAAGAAGCCAAAGAAAGAAGAAGGAAGGAAAGAGAACTAAAGAGAAAACTAAAGTTAGAGAATGAAGAAATTAAGCAGCAAAAGAAGAAGAAAGTAGAGCTAAGCAAGGAGTATGAAGAACAAAGTGATGAAGATGATGGCGAAGAAGATGATGATGATGATGAAGAATATGATGAGCCATGTGATATTTGTGAAGAAAATGAGGATGCTAGGGGTAATGGGAAAGAGGCTGACAGGATGGTCGAATGTAACATTTGCCTTACCTGGTACCATGTCTCATGTGCACGATATGCAGGCTCTAACATCCCAAGATGGGGCAGAATAAAATTTGACAAATTTGTATGCTATAAGTGTGCATAATTAATGATACTAGTTATAGTATTATGGTAAAAAATCTATGACAGTAATGATGAAATATGACTTGACGTGAAAAAAGTGTTCAATCAATAATTTAAGATGTCTATGTGGCAGTGTAATATATGATATGATATGATGGATATGAAAGATATCAAGCTAATGAAATGATCACATCAAGTTGAAATAATAATGATCAATGAACAGATGAAATTTGGGTAAACAGGTAAAGATATCCTTGATGCATAAACAATACAAACATAGACTTCAACGTCCATGTCTGTACTGCATATATGCTTATTATATAAGATACACTGTATGTTAGGTAAAATGGTTGAATTAAGGCATGACAAGATAGGTGATATACAGTATGCTATGACTGACAGTATAATGAATATAAAGTCACATTTGCTCTTATTATCAGGTTATTAAGCATCATGTGGAATAATTTGTTTTCTTGGTATAAAGTATGTTGGACTACATCTACCAATCTTGTTCTTCCATTGTCTAATACTGATAACTATAGGTCTATGTACCTATACCTTGGGAGTACAGCTTACATTACCGGTACCTCACCTGCAAAAGAAGCTCACACTATAAGTATTACATACTATACAGTTACCAAAGTAAGATGAATCAAAATCAAGTTCAATAGAATACAAAGTCATCACAATCATGCTGTTAGATCAATGGTAAATGTTTCATTAAGTTGAGTATAAAGTTAATAGTAGGGTACCCATATGTGATATTAATGAGCTAAATGACATTTAAATGCAGTTTTTCCATGCCAGATAATACAGAAGCAATGGCTTAATAAATTTTATTTGAATCTAATATGTCTGTGTGATCCATTTATTTCAGCCAGTAACTGTACAAATAATACTAGATTTAGAAAAGAATAATAGTTCAAACATTAAATAGATGTCACTTAAAATCATTTAAACTTGGGAGCTTCTGATATCCAGGGGTGATAGGATCCAAAATGGCTGGTAGAAGAAAGTAACTAAAGTGATATATGCCATCAATCTACCTCGAAGGAAAACATAAACATATCAATGCTAAGATGATGTAAGTGTTCGGAATTACCCCCTTGTAAGTGTTCGGAATTACCCCACAAAAAACACCTGTTCGTGTTTACCCCCCTGAAATAACTTACACTTAAAATGGTATCGCCTAAATTTTTCCGATGGTTTATCCAATTTTTTTTCTAAAAATGCGTTTAAAACATAAACTACGCATTACAGATATAAAATTATACGAGAGAATCGCAAGACAGTCAAGGTAAATACATTTTTTGATGGGGGTGTTCGGAAATAGACGTATTGACTCTAGTAATGTAAAATTCAAAGTAGATTAGACTAGTCACAAACATTTAAAATTTTACTGTAGTCTACAGTGTAGAGTCAAAACAGAAATGTTTGGGAGTACTTTGAATTTAAAAAATAAGCAATCAAATGACCATATTGAAACAGTTTATGTAAAAATAGAAACATTTATATTTATCCTAACTTTTGTATATTTTAGTTTGTTTTGTAATTTAGCTATCATATGATCATACCAGTGTCCTCTTATATTTGATACTTCTCTGCCATGTTATTTTCGGAAAAATTAACATGGCTGAAACTCCCTCAATTACAAAAGGCCACAGCTTTGCTGCACATTATACATTACTATCTGAAATATACAAAAGTTAGGATAAATATAGATGTTTCTATTTTTACATATACTGTTTCAATATGGTCATTTGATTGCTTATATTTTAAATTCAAAGTACTCCCAAACATTTCTGTTTTGACTATAAGGTGCTATATTGTAATCAGTTTGCCGGGTGGCTGGGCGGCCCGAATTATCTTGTCTACAGGTTTCCAGCCAAACCGTTTGAGGGATTCATTTGAACTTCTCAGGCATGTTTCTGTTTTGAACTGTTTAGTCCTAAAATCTTGTCTGTCAAGGCTTCTAGTCTGTTGGATACATACTACATGTAGGACTACAGTAAAATTTTAAATGTTTTGTATAACTTTTGTATACTTCAGATCGTTATGTATAATGTGCAGCAAAGCTGTGGCCTTTTGTAATTAAGGGAGTTTCAGCCATGTTAATTTTTTCGAAAATAACATGGCAGAGAAGCATCAAAATATATAGCTATACTACAAAACAAACTAAAACATACAGACAGGTATAGGTGTTTCAATTATAATATGGTCCTTTAATTGCTTATTTTTTCAAAGTAGTTCCAAACTTTTAAGATTTTACTGTAGCTTACAAACCTGATGAGTGATGGATCCATGTAGGTAGACCATTTAAATTTAAACCAGGATTGGAAACAGGATTTGAGATTGCTACCCCAATAATTTGCATAAATGTAGGGGTGATTTTTGAGATCACCCCCACTACTACTTGTATGAAATATTTATCACTATATAAGAGGACAGGGTGGCAATGTTGTCCACGAAGGTAATTGTCGGACAAATGACTGCATACACTGAGTGTCTGACAATTACCTACATGGAAGCCATTGCCTCCATGTACTCTGTCCATCATTTTATGCACTCGAGATGCTTCGTTATCGATGTTGATAGAAAATATGGTCCACGAGTCTCCTGATATGCGATAATTAGGAAAGTTTAGACCATAAATAAATGAGTTATGGATTTGTTGAAGTGACGATTTCCCATGTTAAAAATAACTTTGGAAGAAGTTGAATAACATTCATGAATTTTTACATGACTAGGCTAGGCTTACTCGAGTCTCTAGCCAAGACTCTTCCCTTGAAATTTGAAAATCGACAACTTAGGTAGTCAAATTGCTTGATCAAGGCCAAGGCCAAAATGAATATTCATCTGTTGTAAAATATAGAATGACTATCCTGTGTTCTTATTAGACAATATTTTATGTATTTTCAGATGCGTCTGGTTCCTGTGACAGCAAAGTAAATAAACAACAAGTACATAGATGGCGTAACAAAATGAAATTCGTAAAACAAGAAGAGGAAGGAGATTAGTATGGGGTCAATATGTCAACTCTAGATGTACAAATGATCAAGCAAGAGCCAGTTGAAATAAAAGTAGAAACAACACAAGAACATGTATCCTATGATCAACCAAGAGCTGGGCATTTTGGGGCGAACATGTCAACTCTAGATGTAAAAATGATCAAGCAAGAGCCAGTTGAAATAAAAGAAGAAGCAACTCAAGAACATGTATGCCATGATCAATCAGGTTTTGCCAATTTTAAACTGGACCATGACCACATATCTAAACAAAGTTCCTCAAGTAAGTTTGAGTGCAGCGCCACTAAAGAAAGCGTATTTATGGTGAATCACTCAAATGTCAAAAAAGAAATTTTTGGTGAAGTTGACGATCAATTCGGAAATTCTGTATTTGCAACTAATTCTGAACAATCATCTATAGAAACTGACAATGATATGAAAGCATCAAAGTCACTTATTAAACAAGAAGATTTTGATCAAGCTAAGAATGAATTTGGAAATTTTGAATTCACTGGGAATACTGATCAGTCATATGTCCAAAGTGACAATAATGTGATAACAAAAGAAAAATCATTCAAATGTCAACATTGTGAGGAATGCTTTTCTAGGTCCTATGATTTAAACAAACACATAAGAACTCACACAGGGGAAAGACTTTTTAAATGTGAAAAGTGTGAAAAATGTTTTCGTACATCTAGTAGTTTAAAGATACACGTGAGAACTCACACTGGAGAAAAACCTTTTAAGTGTGAAAACTGTGAAAAATGTTTTAGAGAACATCGTAAATTAAAGGAACACATAAGAACTCACACGGGGGAAAGACCTTTTAAATGTGAAAAGTGTGAAAAATGTTTTCGTACATCTAGTAGTTTAAAGATACACGTGAGAACTCACACTGGAGAAAAACCTTTTAAGTGTGAAAACTGTGAAAAATGTTTTAGAGAACATCATAGATTAAAGGAAAACATTAGAACTCACACAGGAGAAAGACCTTTTAAATGTGAACATTGTGAAAAATATTTTAGTACATCTAGCAGTTTAAAGAGTCATGTCCGAACTCATACAGGAGAGAGACCTTTTAAATGTGAACATTGCGAAAAATGTTTTGGTGAATCTGGTAAATTAAGGAGACACATAAGAACTCACACGGGAGAAAAACCTTTTACATGTGAACACTGTGGAAAAAGTTTCATTGAATCGGGTAGTTTAAATATACACATGAGAACTCACACAGGAGAAAAACCTTTTAAATGTGAACATTGTGAAAAGTGTTTTGGTCAACTTCGTTATTTAAAGAATCACATGATGACTCACACTGGAAAAAAACCTTTTAAATGCGAACATTGTGAAAAATGTTGTTATACCTCTAGTGAATTAAAGACACATATGAGAACTCACACAGGAGAAAGACCTTTTAAATGTGAACAATGTGAAAAGTGTTATGGTCAACTTCGTTATTTAAAGAATCACATGATGACTCACACTGGAGAAAAACCTTTTAAATGCGAACATTGTGAAAAATGTTTTAGTAGATCTAGTAGTCTAAAGATACACATTAGAACTCACATTGGAAAAAGACCTTTTAAATGTGAACATTGTGAAAAATGTTTTAGTAAATCTAGTAATCTAAAGATACACACGAAAACTCACAAAAGAGAAGGACCTCTTACACGTGAGAACTCACAATGGGGAGAGACGTTTTCAATGTGAATATTGTGAAAAATGTTTTGGTTCATCTTGTGATTTAAAGGGACACGTAATAACTCACACAGGAGAAAGACCTTTTAAATGTGAACATTGTGAAAAATGTTTTAGTAGATCTAGTAATCTAAAGATACACACGAAAACTCACAAAAGTGAGGACCTCTTACATGTTTCAGTTCATTTAGTAATTTAAAGAAACATGTTAGAACTCACAATGGGGAGAGACGTTTTCAATGTGAATATTGTGAAAAATGTTTTGGTTCATCTTGTGATTTAAAGGGACACGTAATAACTCACACAGGAGAAAGACCTTTTAAATGTAAACATTGTGAAGCATGCTCTTCATTATCTAATAGTTTAAAGGTGCACATGAGAATTCATACAGGAGAAA